TGGGGTTTGGCGGGGAGCGGGGCTCTGAGATCCCCTTAGCTTGACATCGCGGCACCTCCCCCGTCGGTTCCGGGGCTCTGGGTCTGCCCCAGCTCTATGTGTCCCAGTTTTTTCTCTTTGAAGATGATTATTTTGAGCCTCACCTGGGCAGAGCCAGGATCAGCCATTTCCTTTCCTGGAGCTCTGAGGCCCACCTGACACCCTCCCACCTCTGACCTGCGCAGGGAAGGGGTTTTAAAGAGGGATGGGGACCTAGGGAACCTCGGAAGTGGGCAGTGGTGGGTGAGAAATGGGCAGACGCTGGGTACTGTACACACACAGGAACACCCTCTGACCCTCGTGGGGTGCACCAGAATCTGCAGGGAGATTGTTGAAGGCAGGGTGGGCAGGTGTTCCTGGGGTAGGACCCGCTAGGGGAGGAGCAGGGTCAGGAAGAGTAGTGATGTTCCCATACTCCCCGAAGGCAAAACGCTAGAGTTTCTGCTTGTCTCGTTGGTTTTATTTGCTTTTTGCTTTCTTTCTCCTTTGCCCTGGATCCCAAGATTCATTTCACTTACCTCTCCTCTTTTTGCAAAAAGGGAAACTGAGGCTAAGGACAGGTTGGCTGGAAATATATGTCTAGGAGGAAAAGATGGTGGAGAGAAAAGCACACTGAATTTGGAACCGAAAGACCTTGGCTCAAGGTTGCCTCACTGGGCATGGTAACCTTGGGCCAAAATGCTTCCCCTTGTTTGGGCCTTGACTTTCTCATCTATAAAATGGGAGAGGGCCCCCTGCCTTGCAGGGTTGCTGTGAGACCAGATGTGTCCAAAGAACTTTGTAAAAGGGAATACTCATGAGGTGCAATCTTCACCACCGTAGACGGGTCCCCTCCCTCTTCCCTGCCTTCATCAAGGGTATTGGCTAGCCCATGGGCTGCCTTTGTAAGAAAGGCATGTACTCTGGAATGTTCAACGAGGTTAGGGACTTGGGGTCTTTATTATGAAAATTAGAAAGAGGCACACTTTTCCTTCCCCAGGTGCAGCAGCTCCGCACCATTGGGCAAGTAGACTGTGGGCTAGATTCCAGTGCCCACGTACCCTAAGGTGAATGGCGTTGTGTAGGGTGCAACTGCACCTGGCAACCCTTCTCAGCAAGCCCCAGGGTCTCTAAGAGACACCAAACTACACACACTCCCAGGGCACCTCCCATGGAAGCCCAAATCCTGGGCTGTTGCCAGCTCACTTTCTTTCCTTTGTCTCCACTTCAGGGCTTTTGGGTATTCAAGCCCCAGAGCCTATGCCCTACTAAGAAGCATGGTGGAGTTAAGTGTTGCCTTCACAAGCTCCCAGAGGGAGGAGTTACTGAGTCCCTAATCCCTTATGTCCAGAACTTGATCAGAGTACTTTTTTCAAGGCCGAGAACAGAAGCATCTGCACACCTGGGCAACAATGCTCTTCACAAACTATGTTCACACCTGCTATCTCAGAGCATCCTCAATAAGATTGTGAGGCAGGTCTCCTCCCCATTTACATAAAGAAGGCCAATCCCAGAGAAATTAAGGCACTTGCCTTAGGTTTCACAGCATTTAAGCAGTAGAGCCAGGAACGGAGTCCAGTCCTTCACTCCATGGCTGCTGAGAAACAAAGCTCCTGAGCTCACAATCTTGCCAAAGCCTTGCTGGAACTGTTGCTCTATTCACAGCAGCCCCTCGTTCTCCCCTTCCTCTCAGTGACCAGCCCTCAAGCCCAGAGGAAGAGTCACTGTCTCTTCCTCCGCTTTCTTGGGGGGAGGGACCTATGTCAAAGCCCAACTGTTCTGGCCTCTTTACTGCAAGAAGGGCCCCTGGGGAGTCCAGAGTGGGAGCTGACCCTTGAGTGGGTCAGAGGCCAGGAAAGGGGTCAATGAGCAGCTATGTCCTGTCCTGCCCAGATGGGGGTTGAAACAGTGGCCACCAGGGAGGACATCAGTACAGAGAGCTAGTGCCTGAGTGAGGGGCAGGCCGAGGTCCATAGTATAGCCACAGAAAATGCAGCAAACCAGGCTGAAGGAAACTCAGAGACCCCCTGACCATCCACTGTGTTGCTAAGGTGGGGAGGGGGTAAACCCAGCTGACAGGACTATAGGCCTCTTAAAGCATTTCTGCTTGGACCTGTGGTACAGGTGTGTGAGCTTTCACTTGAGAAAGGGGTTCAGTTCAGTGCTTACAAAAAAATAATAATAAAGGAGACTCACTGGCCTAATCTAATGGGTTATTCCCAAAGTGTGGTCCCTGGACCAGTGGCATCTGCCTTGCCAGGAACTTGTTAGAAATGCAAATTCTCAAGCCTCATCCAAAACCTAGTGAATGGAAATTTGGGGGTGGGGGCCCAACAATGTGTGCTCTAACAAGCTCTTTACCGGACCCTGAGGCCGGCCGAAGTTTGAGAACCGCTGATCTAGTCCAAGTCTGTAGGAAACCGAGTCCTAGTTGTGGGTCAAGGGCAAGGCTATGAAGATAACTCGTCTCCCAGTCTCCGAACTCTGGGCATTTGGAGGCGCCCCCCACACAACCGCCCACCCTCC